CCTCCTTGCCCTCAAACTTCCTCACCCTTCCCCGCTGCTTGCCTCTCCCCTTTTCCGGTTCTTCGTATTTTCCCACAATCATTCTTTCACCTCTTTCCTTGTTTATTTTCTTGCTTCTCTTCCCACCATTCGTTATCATCTCGCTCCCTCTCTCTCTCTCTCTCTCTCTCTCTCTCTCTCTCTCTCTCTCTCTCTCTCTCTCATTAGCATTCGAAATAGATCTAATCATTGCGCTTGTAACGTTGTTTGACACACTTTTGGTATTTCAGTGGCGTAGGTCTTCCAGCAATTAATAACTCTGGGTCGAATATGGCACCACCGAAGCTTTACACTCGCCTGCCGGCAAAGGCGAACACAATCTTTAGATCCACTCTACAGGACGACCAAATTCTGATTTTTGTAGATTTAGCTCTCTTAATCACCACTAAATCTGGCTCGGAAAAAACGCGTAGAATGCTTGAACAGAGAACACGGTGCAGCAAGAACTTGTCGTTTTTGTACCAGCTTGACCGTAAGTGAACCGGCGTACATTTTAAGGAAGGAATTTCTAGCGAAGGTCAATTAAAACTAGTCACCAACCGCTATATTACCGCATGTCTAAGACGCTACAACGTACTTCGAAGTGCCCATTCTTGTAATCCTTCAGTAATATCCTTTCTAATTTAACCAATAAGAACACTTAATCCAAAATTTCGATCCGTGGATGATGACTAATTAATGCTTCTAATTTTATTAATGGGAGAACTGAGACGCGCCGGTCTGAAACTGCTATGTTATTTCCCATCAAAGTTCGCGGTAAACTCAGAGTTCTGTGGTACAAATCGATCTAAATAATAACTTATAAACCGCTGGCAAACAAAATATGCGCAACGTGTTTACTCCTCGACGCTACAACAATGCTTTCACACACGATACTGCCCGATAACTTGGCAGATCGCCGCATTGATTTTTCTCCTCTTCGGAAGATTTTTTATCGCTTACAAGCACTAACCTAACAGAGATTAATGAACATCCTGAGCGCGACAGCGGCATCTAGCGGCACGTTTATGGCTTACGCGGCGTCTTACACGCACGCCATTTCGATGCCATCCGAGTGTGAAACAAAAGGCGATCCAGCTCTCGCCTTGTCGCACCGTTTATAGTCGCGTCCGTCGACGTTGTTCGCTGTTGTTTTGACGCCAGAACGAGGCGACAACCCGATGACGATAGTCCATATCGAGCTTTTGGAAAGTTTCGAACATGAACTCTAACTTTCCTGCAGGATATCCGGCGTGAACGTCGGGCTGGGTTGCGACGACTCCATGACAACCATTTTTAATTAGCATAACCACTTATCGGTTTTATTTAATTACACGCCCTCATTGCAAATTTCGACTCAGTTAATCCTCTGTGCTCGAAATTAAAAAAAATTAATTCGAAAATGAATACGGGGTCGAGTGGGTAATCTGTTTGGATACTCCCTTTACGACCGCATGAGAGTATTCGTGCACGTCGGGGACCACACGCGCGCTCACACTCACGAGCGCGCGCGGCACGCCACCGCGCGCGCGACACAACGCACGCACCACACGGACAAACACACCATCACACACACATAGCGCGCACGAGCGCCACGCACGGCACGCACGCACGGCACGCAG